CCAGCGGTGTAGGAGGGTTCCCCTTTCTCCACAGCCACTGAGGGTCATCTTTGAGGACAAGCTACCACCTATAAACATCAGCCTATAAACATACTCAACAAAATCACAAAGCCCCTTTCTCTCAGAGGCTTATAGTATAGTATAGGGCAAGATTTCTTCACTTTGGCCCATCTGGCTTTTTAATAATTAAATACATTTTATTTTTTAGAACAGTTTTAGATTTACAGAAACATTGCAAAGATAGTAAGTACAGAGTTCTGTATACCTACACCTACTTTCCCCAATTATTAACATTTTACATTAAGGTGGTATATTTGTTACAATTAATACACCCATCAATTGATACATTGTAACTAAATTCCATACTCTATGCAGACTTCTTTAATTTTTACCTAAAATTCTTTTTCTGTTCAAGGATCCCATCCAGGATACCACCATACATTTATTTGCATATATATTTATTGAAATACAGTCAGTTTCTGGTGTGCAGCATAATGCTTCAGTCATACATGAGCAAACATATATTTGTTTTCATACTCTTTTTCACCATAAATTAACTACAAGATATCCAGTATAGTTCCCTGTGCTATACAGTATGAACTTATTGTTTATCTATTTTATATATTTATTAGTTAGTATCTCTAAATCTCAAACTCCCAATTTATCTCTTTCCATTCCCTTTCCCCCCGGTAACCATAAGTTTGTTTTCTATATTTGTGAATCTGTTTCTGTTTTGTAGATAAGTTCATTTGTCTTTTTTTTTTTTTTTTTAGATTCCACATATAAATGATATCATATGGAATTTTTCTTTCTCTTTCTGGCTTACTTCACTTGACCCATCCATGTTGCTGCAAATGGCATTATTTTATTATCGTCATGGCTGAATAGTATTCTATTGTATAAATACCACAGCTTCTTTATCCAATCGTCTGTCGATGGACATTTAGATTGCTTCCATAGTTTTGGCTATTGTAAATAGTGCTGCTATGTACATTGTGGTGCATGCATCTTTTTGAATTGAGGTTCCCTCTGGATATATGCCCAGGAGTAGGATTGCTGGATCATATGGTAAGTCTATTTTTAATCTTTTGAGGAATCTCCATAATGTTTTACTTAATGGCTGCACCAAACTACATTCCCACCAACAGTGTAGGAGGGTTCCCTTTTCTCCACACCCTTTCCAGCATTTATCATTTGTGAACTTTTTAATGATGGCCATTTTGACTGGTGTGAGGTGATACCTCATTGTAGTTTTGACTTGCATTTCTCAGATAATTAGTGATATTGAGCATTTTTTCATGTGTCTGTTGGCCATTTGTGTGTCTTCATTGGAGAATTGCTTGTTTAGATCTTCTGCCCATTTTTGGATTGGGTTGTTTTTATTTATTTTTTATTATTAAGTTGTATGAGCTGTTTATATATTCTGGAAATTAAGTTCTTGTCATCATTATCTTTTGCAAATATTGTCTCCCATTCTGTAGGTTGTCTTTTTGTTTTGCTTATGGTTTCCTTTGTTGTGCAAAAGCTTACGAATTTAATTAGGTCATATTTGTTTATTTTTGCTTTTATTTCTATTGCCTGGATAGACTGCCCTAGGAGAACATTGCTGAGATTTATGTCATGTAATGTTTTGCCTATGTTTTCTTTTAAGAGGTTTATAGTGTCTTGTCTTATATTTAAGTCTTTAAGCCATTTTCAGTTTATTTTTGTGTATGGTATGGGGGAGTATTTTAACTTCATTGATTTACATGCAGCTGTCCAGTTTTCACACCACCATTTGTTGAAGAGACTGTCTTTACTCCATTGTATGTTCTTGCCTCCTTTGTCAAAGATTAATTGACCAAAAGTTTGTGGATTTATTTCTGGGCTCTCTGTTCTGTTCCATTGGTCCATATGTCTATTTTTGCACCAATACCATGCTATTTTGATTACTGTAGCTCTGTAGTATTGTCTGAAGTCTAGGAGGAGGGTTATTCCTCCAGCTTCATTCTTTCTCTTCAGTATTGCTTTGGCAATTCTGGGTCTTTTGTGATTCTATATAAATTTTAGGATTATTTGCTTTAATTCTATGAAAAATGTCCTGGGTAATTTATAGGGATCACATTAAATCTGTAGATTGCTTTGGGTAATATGGCCATTTTAATATTAATTCTTCCAATCCAAGAACATGAGATATATTTCCATTCCTTCAAGTCATTTTTAACTTCCTTTGTCAATGTCTTGTAGTTCTCTGTGTGTAAGCCACCATACATTTAGTGTTTATATCTTTTTAGGCTTTTCTTGGTTTTGACAGTTTTCCCAGCTTTTCCTGTTTTTGATGGCCTTGACAGTTTTGAGGAATCTTGGTCAGGTGTTTTGTAGAATGTCCCTCTATTGGAATTTGTCTGATTTTTTCCCCCATAATTAGACTGGGGTTAGGGCACAAACATACACTATGTTTGATGTTAACCTTGACCACCTGGCTGAAGTAGTGTTATGTCAGATTTCTCCTTCATAAAGGTACTCTCTTGAGTCCTGCCTCCCCATTCCCAAATATGGAAGTTACTGTGAGAGTCCCACACTTAAGGAGTGGGGAGTTACGCTGCATCTCCTGGAGGGAGGATTATTTATATAAATGATTTGGGATTCTTCTGTGAAGAAGATTTGTCTTTTCTCTCACTTAATTATTTTTCAATAATTTATTTATATCAGTATGGACTTGTGGATATTTATATCATAGTTTAGGTTAAACCCAATACTATTTTGTGTATTTATTGCTTAAACAGTTCCAACTTTTGCCCTTGGGAGATCTTTCAGATTGTTCTTGTGTCCCTTTGATATACCCCTATCAATTTTTTTTGTAGTTTTTGTTGTTTTTTGAGTACTTCTTGCTTTCTAGCACTACAAGCTGCTCCAGGATCACCTTATATATTTCTTGCCCCCGACGTAGAATCAGCCTTTTGTCTAAGGACCCCTAGTTCCTTTTATTAGAAACCAAGATCTGGGTGCTAGCTGTGCTCATTACTACAGTGTAGATGTTGTGGGCCTGATAATTCTTTGTTGTTGGGACCTGCTCTGTGTATTGTAGCGTGTTTAACACCATCCCTGGCCTCAATGTATTAGATGCCAACAGCAACCCTCCTGAGTTGTGAAACTCAATAATGTCTCTAGACATTGTCAAATGTCTCCTGAGGGCAAAATGTCCGCTGGTTGAGGACTGTTAAAGAGACAGACCTGCTGAAAATGACAAGGATATAATGTAATGGGGAATAGTGGGAGACTTGCAGAAGAAGCCTCTGAGCCTGTTTGCAGATATTGGGAAAGGATTCATAGAGGAGGTGCCATCTGAACTGACAATAGGTTTGATATTTTTTGAGCCATTATCATGAGTCAGGCAAAAGATGTTTAATTTTTTTTTTCTTTTATCACCAACTTAAAAAGCAGTTACTTCACAGGTGAAGAAACTAGAGTTCAAAGGGACAAAGTAACTTGCTTAGAGTGCCTGAGCTGGTCTTGAAGGATCCAGTTAACCATGTGCATGGAGAGCTTTGAGGGCACTGACATCTCCTCACACTGCTCAAATCCAGACTATCTGAACCTCTCCTTTGTTTATAACAGTGCAATACCATCTCATTTTTAATTTTTTTTCCCATTGAATTCTGACTTCTTGAGAAGAGAAACGATTCAGTGCTTGCCATGTTTTAGGTGGACCAGTAAACATTAGTCCATTCCATGAAATTTCCCACTCACATTACAAAATCAACTCATGCTTCCTTCTGGTCAGACTGCTATCAGCCAGCATCTCTGGTGGAGGGCTCACTGCCCAGCACTCCAGCCAGTCTCCTGTAGTCTTGGTCACTCCACCTCCTTATTGTTTTACTCCCAGCACCTCAAAAGGAGTAGTTGGCTAGTGTCAATGACAACCTCAAACTGATTATAGCCAGTAGCACTTTGCCATGGGTGAGAGCTGCAAAGATATTCTCTAAGGAAGGCAAAAAACATTCTATACCTCTGTTATTAAAATGCAGAATGTGTTCCTACTGGTTTCTACATGTAATATCAATTATCTACTTTTGACAATTCCTTTTTCCCATATGATCCCTCTATCATTTAAGGACAGATTTTACACAGACCACGAAAGGCTTTTAAATTCTTCACATTCTTATCCCAATTTCCTTTTCTTTCTTTCTTTCTTTCTTTCTTTCTTTCTTTCTTTCTTTCTTTCTTTCTTTCTTTCTTTCTTTCTTTCTTTCTTTCTTTCTTTTTTTTTCCTCCCTGGAGTTAGGGAGGTTTTCTTGTTTATTAAACAAAACAGGGGAAAAAATGCCCTGGTTTTTGTTTTGTTTTGTTTTGTTCTTATTGTTTTTGTGCCTTTTCTATTCCCTACAACTTCTGGATCTGCTATTTGCAGTTGCTATGAAATTTTAAGTCTATTGAATTAGAAGTTTTTCTCTCTCTGGTTTCAAGACTCACTTTCCTTCTTCCTTTCCTTTGCTAAAATTCTGGTCTAATTAAAAAAACAGTAGATCATAGTTAAATAAAACTGTACCCAGGATAACCCTAATTTCCATATGCAGATTTATCTGCACTGACAGCATCCCCCCCCCTTACACACACTCTCTCGCTCTCTCATTCTCCTTTCCCTCCTCTCCATCTCCCTATCGCATTGTGTCTGACTGATTTTCAGAGCACCTTCGCTGTTTCCCCCTTCTCATTCCCTTTCTGTAAAATATCTAGACAGGAAGGAGGTGGCTGCAGAGGCTGAACAAACAATCTCATATTCTGCCTGCAATGTCATCGTTTCTTTCCCCCATTTTAGGGGGCTGAAGTTGCCCAGGAAGGGGATGCAGAGGAGCTGAAAGGAAGGGGGGAGCTCTCCAGAGGCAGCTGCGGTCAGGGGCAGGGACCGCCGCCAGATGTGCCTGCCTCTCTGGGCTTTGATGCGAAAGGGGCAGCAGGAGGAAATATTGGGAGACAAAAGCCCCGGTTTAAATGATCATTTTCTTTATTTAACATGGCAGCAGACACTCTCTGCGTAGGATCATCATGCCGAGCATAAACTGGACTTTCCCACTTGCGTGGCAGGAGTGAGACAGATCACTGTGTGCTAAATGAGCATCTGAGGTAAGACCCACTCTTACAGATACTTGATGTTTTCCTATCAATTAATTTTCTTAAATATATGTTTCAGCCTCAATCACAAACAGTATAGTGGGGGCAAATCTTTGTTAATTTGCATTTAAGGATCTAAGAAAAAGCAGAGATATAATGTGTTCAACTCAATTTGAGGAGGTTAGTTACTTTGTCAATTCCATGTGTGCTTTTTTTTTTTTTAGAAAAAAAATATTTGGTTTAAGAATAGACTAGTGTCACCATAATCCACCAGTGGTGATAATACTGATGTTCAGACTCTTAAAAAAACTTTGCAAAAAGACAGTGAGCTACAGATGCATGTGCTGTATTTTTAGCTTACCTACAAATATTAGAACTCTTATTAAAATGATAGGGTTTTTTTTTTTTAGCAGAGAAGGAATGAATGCTGCATAATTAAGTACAGTATTTAATTTGGCTGTTGTGAAGCAAAAGAATAAGGTAATAATTTTTATTGTACTAATCAGTCTCAAGATGTTCTCTGTGTTAATTGGGTTAAAAAAATTGCAGTACTTATTAGAAATTCTAATTTCACAATGCAGCACTGACAATAAGCTCAGCCAGTGAATTATTCACATCTTTAATTTGCTCACTTAATGACAGTGTTCTGTAATCAGAGTGCAGAGACTGCTGCCTATGCATTATGTATGATGCTCAGGACTTAAATGCAGGACATTATGAAGCTCTCAGTGGTTCAGTAATTAGTTTTCCACAAGACAGGATTTAGATATTCACAGATAAAAGTCCCACAGTTGGATAATGCTAAGGTTGCAACACAAAATAACAAAGGAAAGGAAGCTCAAAGTTTAGACTGAAACTTTGTCTCTCAGGCCTTATCCACCGTGGAAACAGAATCAAGCCACCTGAAATAGTTGCCCAGCTCTGATCACATGTTTGAAAACTGTTTTTGAACAAAGTTGTAGCAGGCAAGGCATTTGAACAATTTCAGTGGACCAGAGGGGAAAGATAAAACCTTTTTAATTAGTGTTCACAGAAGCCCTGCAATATATTCTCCTAATAAGTCAGTAGTATGCATAGCAGGCATTTTCAATGTGCTTTGTAACTTAGTTAGTGCAAATGCAAATCAGGTTACAATAGTGTTTGGCTGTAATTGTGTTTGTAAAAGGGTTACATGCCCAAATGGAGATTGAGCTTGCTCATGGTTTTGTTCCAATTGCTTCTGAGGGGAGGTTTGAAAACCAAATGAGATATTAAGTGAATTTGGGCATGAAAGGAAGTAGATCTGAATTGTCAGTGCGACTTTGGAATTTCTTACACTTGTCGGTTTAGAGTTGTCAGTTTTTCTTTAGTGATTCTGTCATAATTGTTCTGCCATAAATTATATAACCTTATTGGTTATCCAGAAACATTAGCAAAACTTCAAAAATGTGTACTAACTTTGGGAAAACATTTCATAGTATTAATTCTAAAGTTTAATGACTAAATTGAAATCTTTAAATACAATGTGTGTGTGTGTGTGTGTGTGTGTGTGTGTGTGTTTTCTTTTTTAAGAACATGCTGTTTGGGGATATTTTTGAAGACTTAAATTGATTTTTATTAATAAGTTCTCATTGCTTTATCATTTATCAGTCTCAGATTTGTGCTCATTTCTAAAACCCTAGTGTTAGGATCCTTAATAAAAATTAGTATCCAAAATTGGAAAGCACAGTAATACTTTTATAGATTAGAACTTTTTTTCTAAAGAAAGTTGAGTTGAGAAATCTATAGGCAAATGTCACATTTAGTGAATGAATGAACTAGCCAAATTAAAAAAAAATTATATTCCATCAAATTTGAAAAACTTTAAATTAAGTAAAGTCACACCTCTAAATTTGACTTCTAACTTCTAGAACTGAAAAGTTACTTTAACAAAATGAAAAAGGTTGTCTTATATGTTTAGGAAGCTGTTGCCTTTGTGATACTGAGAACATAGTTTTTGGGAAAGGACACTTGGTTGGAAGAGGCATTAGAATATTGGGCAGCTGAGCAGGGGACTTGGCTTTGACTTGGGTTTGGATCCAGGATAATTTGTGACAGTCAGATGGTGGTAGTGGTGCTGGTGGGAGCTCAAAGAAATGGTTGGGAATTAGAAAACTTGTTACTAGTCTCATTTCTGCCACAAACCAACTATGTGACTTTGAGCATTTAAAGTCACTTTCCATTTCCTCAACTGTCAGACAGGAACAACAAACTTTTCTAGGCTTTAGAAAAAACAATTGTAGAGTTGTTATGGGGATAAATGAGGTAGACGGAGTGAAAGTTTTTCTGAAAATTTAAAAGCGCTAGACAAAAATAAGTTATATTAAGGATTAGCATAAAACTAAATGTGTTTCTTTGAACTGTACTATTTATTATGGAAGAGATTCTAATCTAGATTTGCAACACTATAATGCAAAAATGTCAAAATATTGTCAAGTAAGTCAATTTAGATTTAGTTTAATGAAAATAAGCCATGAAAAATTTCCTTCTTAGGTATTTGGGGAAGAATAAGAGAGCTCTGAGAGTTCATATACATCATTGTGGTGTCACTACTCCAAAAAGGTTAGCAATCCTCTTGCTTTAGACAATTCTTTCACCCATCACTTTCGAGAACTTACATATTAATACTCTAAGAAGTCTTATGACTGGAATATCTGCCAGGCACTAAGATTTAAATCATTCTTCCCTAGATTATGCGAGTTAAGTTGAAATCATTTATATCACCAGAATTTTGAGCTCTTTTACTCACCAAAAATCAATCAAAAATTGATTATCCTGTTAATTTTTTCTTTCATCATCTGTTGAGCATTTACAGTGCTATCAAAAATAACATGCCATCTCTCCCTTATTCTTATGAAGCAGTTATTTCTGTATTCCAGATGACAGACTGAAGCACAATGAAGTTAAGTAACTTAAAAATACCACAGGCAGTGAGTGGTAGAGTTGGAATTGAACCAGCTCTGAGTCCTGAGGTCTTAACCAATAGACTGTATTGTCAGTTCCTAAGGCCCTGTGATAATTGCTAAGCTAAGATAATTGATTGAGACTCCTGCTTTCAAACTGCTCCCAGTGGTAATACTTGAACTTCTCCTACTTGCTCAGTTGTAGGTCAAAACCTGCTTCTTATACTGTGGTCTACAGACCAGCAGCATTGGCGTCATCTGGAACCAGGCCTAGGCGCTTCACAAATTTTGATCTGGCTTTTAAATCACCTGGGGATCTGGTGAAAATGCAGATGCCCATTCAGTAGCCCTGGGATGGGGCCCAAGATGCTTTTCTAATAAATTTCCAGGTGATGCAGTGTTACTGTTTGGAGAAGCCTCTATTTGGTGAGTTCTGGAATTACTCTCATTTCCCCAAGTTTGGTACCCAGCATGTCAAAGGTAGGCCATGTGTATCAGATTCTTTACTGAGTCCTACTCTTTCTCCAATTCTGATGTTTTTTTGGTCCATATAGAATAGCTTCCACCTTGGTTTCCTGACTTCAGCCCTCTTGTGCCCTGAGTCTCAGCCTACATAGCTGTGGTGCTGGCTACCTGCTTAGCTCTGGCTTACACCTTTTCCTACAGGTCTGATCCCATACTCCTAGTCACTGGCATTGACTGACATATCTTTGTTGTGGCATCAGCCTGGTTGAAGATCTTCATTCCCTTTTCTGTGTCAGAATCACCTGTGAAGCTTATTAAATACCTGCAAGCCCTTCAGCACCACTCACATGGATTCTGATGCAGTAAGCCTGGAGTGAGCCTTAGGAATTTTTTTTTTTAATCTTTCACAAAGTGTCATAACTGATCTGATGGGCAGCATGTGCTGAATGAAAACACCATCCCAGGGGGCCCATGCTGTGCCCTGATCTGAAGGGGATTCTTTAGAAACTGATACTGGCATAGCTTGAGTTTAAGTTTGCCATCCACTAGGAACATTTTGTCTAGGCCTCTATGTTAGCAATGGGAGCACAACATAGGAAGAATTTAAAACTTTGCTGAGCTGGTTTCAGAAAGGCTTTGCTGAATGATTGACATTTGAATTGGCTAGCCAATGAAGGAATAGGCCTTTTTTTCCCAAGCCAAAGGGATAGCATATACAAAGCCAGAGAGATAAAAATGAGAAAGTTATCTTTAATCTGAGACACCCATTTTGACAAAAGTGTTTAACACACAGAAAAGAGGAGTAGGAGACAAAATTATAAAAGTAGGTAGCCTCACTTTTAGGATCTTATATTTTAAACCAAAGAGTTTACACTTCATTCTACAGACAGAATTACCAGAGGTTTAAGATGGAAAGCAAGGTGATCAGATGTGTGTTTTGGAAAAATAATCTTGGTATTGAGACATACGAATTTAGTGGGGCAAAATTGAAGATAGAGAGACAAGTTAGGTACCTGCCGTATTAGTGTGAGATGGGCCCTAACCTAACTTCTTCTATCTCAGACACTGATGATGTTTCTTTATCACCTATCACACTTATATTTTATAATAACCACTTGCAGTTTAGATCTGATAAATGGCATGGCCTTGAGAATTCAGAGAGCTCAATGCTTTTATGAGCCATCACTGGTCTTCTTCCTTCTCCTGATTATTTTACCTTATAATGTTGAGACAGTTAGCTCTAGGGTTCTTCCCTTGGGAGCTGCTTAGAGCTTTTAGGTAGTTATTTGCTAGCAAAATCTACATTGGCCTACGAGAAACTTGAAACCAGTTCATGAGCAGGAAAAGGAATACCAATGGTTGGGAGAATTGTGTTTGGGTCTCTTGAATGCACTGCTATTGCCCAAGCTCTGGAGAGAGACTTTGCATAATCCATTAGCCTCGACCTAGCTTGATTTTTTTTTATGTCCTGCTTCTAAATTTGTCCCTCTTAGAGTGAATCTCAGATGTGCTTAGACATTTCACTCAGTTTTTGACCCACTTTAGTACTTCTTTGTTCTTGGCTAAACTCTCTTCCTTGATTCTAATCTATATGTGTTTATGTGACAGGCTGAGTATGGTCCCCCT